CCCCAAAACCCCAAAACCCCAAAACCCCAAAACCCCAAAACCCCAGAGAGAAGAGTTCTGATTGAATCTTAGATTTGATCTTTACAATCCAGTAGCTGGTGGATTAATGAAGACTCCATTTCCATTCTGAGCATTACAGTATGCTCCAAAACTTGACAACTTTTTAAAGTTGAATTTATCAACACGATGATGCTTGAAAACACTAGAAAGATTAAAAGAAAGACTACTCTGAAGTGAAAGACTCCTGCATGGTTGATTTGGGGAAAGAATTTTGAGTATCAACAGATGTGATACCAAATCTATCTGAATACTTTTCTTGTACTGAATCTTTGCAAGAAGGTCTGCTGTAATTACCAAAAGGACCAGTTGCTACTCCAGCTCTCATTTGGTCAAGTAGTTGCTTGTTATATTGATTAAGTCTGATTCCTATTCTTGACTTAACTCTTTGCTTTATAATAGTTCTATCAATTTTCTCTTGTCTCTTAAGATCACTGTTTAGATATTTTTCTTTGTTATCTAGTTTATCCCTGAGTCCCATTTTCCATTTGCGAGGTTTGAAGTTTTGGTCAGGGATTAGCATTGGAAGAGCCTGGGTCCTGTACATTGAAGTGGATCTTAAGTTAGTTTTTCCAGCCTTAAAACTCTTGTTCATCATTGGTACTTGCTTCTGATCTGAATAATTATTGAAAGATCATTTAGAATGGAGCTTTTGAGGAGTTTCTGGATATCCATGTTTTTCTACATTTGAAGTATCATTTGGTAAAAATTTTGAACGCTTATGTTCGGCTTGTCTAGTAGTACTTCTGCTTGTACGGTTTTTAAGCGGATTCAAAACCATTTGTTTATTTCTATGTTTAAACTTTCAAATCTTACTGGAGCATCTTTCATCTTTTCAAGAATTACTCTGGCTTAATAAGAAATATTAAAATCTGGTTTAAATAATGTTAATTCATAAAGCTATCCACAATTTTACCTTTTAGCTTGACAATGTCTCTCTTTTTCTTTTGCTCGGAAAGTTCTTTTTCAAATTCGCTTTGCTTATCTGAAGGATGTCTAGGAGTTTCTACAGATTCTAAGGATTCAGCATCAACCTGTTCTAGTTCATCCCCTTCTAAATTTTCTTTATTCTCATCGGTATCTTGGTTCTGGCCTTCATTATGTTCAATCTTCTCGTTCTCATTTATATATTGGAAGTACTCGTAATTTTCTTGATTAATTGGCTGCTCAGGATGCTTCTAGAATTAATTTAAAATCCTAACTCTTAATTCTTTGTTTTTCTCCTCTAACTCAGTCTTATTCATCTTTACTCTATTATTCTTGGAGGTTGATGGGTCTTTCTTTTTCAAAACTTTTGGATCTAAGATATATACTTGATTTCTTACTTTTATAGTTATATTCGCTTGCCACTGATCTGCCAACCACTTCCGCATTATTACCTTGAACAATATTAGGATCTAATTTAAAATTGGAGCAGTTTGTTAGATGCAGCCCATGCTCTCAGCAAACTTTCCTCTAAAACTACAAAAACAAAGAATGTAGATCGGATAAATGCAAGACTTCAAGTCTCTTGAAATTGTGCCTACCTTTTACACAGGAAGAATTTCCATTAGAAACTTTATTCCAGCTGGGGTTTCTCATATTCTTTCTATCCAGGGCTATAATTAAATGGGTAAGATCTTTGATTGAATTTTTTGGTTGCAGAGGATCAAAAATTTTCCATTACATAACATAACATCATTCTCATTTACGAGTCTTAATGAATGAAAGTATTTAAATGCTTTGATGGTTAAGCTCTGTAGACAGTTTTAATTGGCTTTAACAATGCCTTCTTTGATCTAATTTAATAAGAAAAGTTGTCAAAAGATTAATTTCTTAATTTAGCAAGAGATGTTTCGGGGACAACTATTATCATTTCAATCATTCCAAAATTTAACTGTTTGCGAAATGACTCAACCTTTATCTGCTCGATAATTATTTCTTCTTGCTCTGTAATAGCCTTTGCTGAAGTTAGAGGAGTAAGAGAGAACACTATTTCTATCTGCATTATCGTTATTAAGATCTCTTTGCTTTTTGATCTACATTTAAAAGATTGAGATCTAATATTTTAAAGGGATTACTCTGTTTTTCCATTCATCAATGAGAGCTATAAAAAATTAGAAGAGAAAGAATATAATTGATTACCATTATCAGAATCTGGCAGCTTGTCACTAAAGAATTAATCAATTTATGCTTACAGATTTTCCTGATTCATTTTTAATAATTTTATTTCAATAAAATAAATTCCAGAAGGGGTTTTGGGGTTTTGGGGTTTTGGGG